TTTAACTGACGTGACTAATACAACACAGAGATTTGCAATACACACTAGGAGAAGGAAACCTGCGATCTTCATTTTAATCAGATTAGTAAAACTAAAATAAAAATCATGTTATGTAAGGATTAGGTTAGATATATATTTGATTCCACCAATTGTGGGAGAGGGCTCCTGGTACGTGGGCATGATACTAAGCCATGATTAGAATTGCATATGGGTATATAGATGAATATAGATGTACATTAGATACGTAACACTTGGTTTACTATATTGTATTTTTGTAACCATTTCAAATAAAACATAAAAACAAAACTGATATAGTATTTTACAGTAACACAACAGGTAGACAATCTCTATTTATTAATATAAGCATCAACCCGCATATAAGTACAGCCCAACATACAGAAAATTTAAATGAACATACAACATACATTTTTTTATATCCATTATATATATATATATATATATATATATATATTATATATATATATATATATATATATATATATATATATATATATATATATGTGCAATAAAAAGGAAACATAAATAATTTTCTTATATATTTAATAATACACTACCATTTAAATACCTGTAAAAAAACAATGTGTCAATTCTTAAAATTTAGTAAAGAAATTTAAAGTGTTCAATAGATTGTGTCTCAAGCTTTATTTTAGGTTTTTTTTTTAAATAGTAAGTAAGGCATTATAATATATTTAGAGAAAAAAAATCTTTAATTAGTGAATTATTACATATAAGCTTATTAATATTAGGTTCTTTACGAAAATATGTCAGTAAGTGTACGTTAAAAAATTTAATAGAGTTGCACCGAATTAACATGAAAAATACGAAACATGAAAAAAAAACCTTGGTTCTTGACCTACGTGTCGATTTGTAAAGAATTAGTCAGATAGAAAAAATAGTAATTTAGCTCTGGAATTTCGATGCATGTGGAAGCACGATATATAGAGAGACATAAAAAGCCGGTTAAATAAAAAGATTGTAATGACAAGTTAATCTTGAATTGAAATGCATATTTTTTATAGCTAATCTAACCTAACCTAAACCTAACCCAATTTTATGAGCCTAATTCAATTTGATATTATCAGATCTAAACCGTAACTGAAATGATTATGCTAAGTTTAGCAGAGCTTATCTAAAGTAAACTTATTTAAGTTCCCCTTTCAAACCTGACGGTCTATGGGGCAAGTGAACTAGAGTTCACTTGTTTCTGTGACCTCAGCATATGAAGAGATAGTGTTGTCAGCACGATGCCCAGCCGCCTTTACTCTCCCTAACGTGAGTTAGGTACCCATCAGAGTTGGGTGGACTCAGGGACGGTCTACTGAATTGAACCCGGATTCGAACTCGAGACTTACGGGTTAGCAGAGAACACTCCGTCCCATAAACTTTTTTAAGATAAGCTTAAACTTACCATACGGCCTATATTATAATTATTAAAAAGTAGGGAATATTACTAGTCTACACGTCTACATAACCTGCTAGTTATTGTAGGCAAGACAATAATAATATTAATTACGAGGTAAATGGCCCGTTGAAGGAGAAATACAATGGGCGCTAGGTTGATAGTGATGTCTTTTTCTCTAAACCAAAACCAAAATCTACAACTCTATTTCAAATTTAACCAGAAACGAAAAATATCATTGAAAACCAATTTTTATCCAGAATCGGCATTTTAACCGATTTTAACCTTGATTTGGCACGTAGCTACTGCACATTCATATTAAATATTCAATGGGCGCTAGATTGATAGTGTTTTCTTTTTCTCAAAACTAAAACCAAGTACCTTGCTAAATGTAGACATTTCCGCATAACGTTATCTGAAAAAATTGATCTACACGCAGTTCCTACATACTGACACTAAATTTAGTGGTAGTCATTCCCCTAAACCTTGAATCTAATCTCAAACTTAACAAAAGTTGCATGCATGCATCTGTGAAAGAAACAATGGTCGCATTTGTTCACTGTACAGACTAAATATAGACCCGCCATTCTTCATCTAGAACCATTTCCTACTTTTGGCTGCTAAACCTCAATTTTGCAGTGTTTCTTTCATATTTATTTTCTCCCGGTAGAGGCGGGGTGCATTTTAAATTTTTACAGTTGACTAAATTCCCATATGTGGGAGGGGTAGTGAACACAGGTAATATAGTATATATTTACTATATAAATTCTATTTGGTTCCAAGGGGGAGGGGTGGTAGACGTTATCATGGATAACCGCCTATGACTATCTGTATAGCACAACTTTTATGGAAAAAGAGGGCTTTAGTATATAAATAGTAATTAATGTTTCTTTAATAAATGCGGTCTTTATATTAAAGTGTGTTTCTGATAATTATTTAGTATAGTGTAGGGGCATCTTTTAGAATACTTTTGCCCAATAATTCCTATGCACTGTAGGGGCATCTTTAAAGTAAAAAAATTATGCCCATTTTCGTTAAATTTTAAGTATGCTTATATTCATATATATTTGAATGGCATCCGTACAGTAATTTATAACTATCATGATTTTCAATTTAAACAATTCGGGGGAAATGTGGGTAAAATTTAAGGGCATTTGCAGAGTAATTAAACCCATATTGTTTTTTATAAATTGTAGGTGCACTCTTTATTTGTTTTGATGTATTATATGAATATACTAAAGAATAAGAATGCCCATAATGTTTTTGAGACACTAAAAGGACACGCCCAAGAATATGCATTAACATATTGTTTTTTTAAATACATATTAGTGATACCATATCGTTTCATATAAATTGTAGGGCATCGTAAAAGTCGCGCTAAAGTTAAAGTTAAGTTTAATGCAAAGTAGATTTATCAGTAAAGTAAATTGGCGCTTTCTTAGAACTGATTTTATAAATAGTAGAGCCATCTGTAGAGTAAGCGAGTCCACGTTGATTTAATGAATCGTGGCAGATATAACGGCCCTGGTAGTCATTATACGTGGAGACTAGGGCCGACCATAGCGCGGTGGACCAAGGTTTACCATTGGTGTCTTCAACATGTACAGTAAGGCTGTATTAATTCAGGGGAATAGTGAACAAATTTAGTATTCTAAGTGTTCGAAACTTTTATCTCCAATTTGGAAAAGTAGTGTATTTTCTTCTTCTCAAAGCGAATTAATATTATGACGACAATATAATCATTTTGTTTTCCTTTTATATTAGCTTCATTATCATATATCTGACCTCGAAATTCACCAATCTCTAATCAATATTTCTCGAGTGCTGCTGGCAGTGATCTAAATATCTTTGCCTGTCGTGTCTTTAGCGATACAAAAGTTCAATGAAACATTCCACAGGTTAAAAATCACACGTGAAACATCGACAAATCGCACAAGCAAAGAGCTTTTCTTTATGATTAGTAGCGATATTTTCTCAATGTACCGAGTTTTGTTTTTCTTTTACCAAGACGAGACGCTTTATTCCTACGTATCTGACTACTTCGACGTGCGAGATAAGACTAGCATTTCTAAGGCCCGTAACTAGTACAGGCATCAAAAAAAAAAACTTCTCCATTGTTCCAAATACAGTAGGGTATCACATTACGTGTTTTCCCAAATTAACATACCAGGCTTAAGGTTGGTGGAATGGGGTGGGGTGAGATTGCTCACTCAAGTCCACCCATCGCCAGCCATTTTATGTCAAACAATTACCAGGGGAACCGGCACACACTGAGGTGTGACACTAATGTCTTCCTGTCGCAGTTCAGGTGGATGATAACTCACTCACATCAACCGTGACCTCAGTTGTAACAATCAACAATGGTGAACTTTGACCCTTAGTTTTTCCCAATTTAATTCAACCAAGAATACCTTACCTCTGTGACCGCAGCCCGGTCCCTTAGGGCAATGTAAAACTGGAAACTCTTTTGTAGGGCATGAAAAATATCCCCCTCCCCCTCCACCCCCACCACTTCCGGCATGTCTCCAAACTGTCTTTTATCCCAGAAATTTTACCCATCCATACATTTGTTGAGTCAGTCATTCCTTTGGATTTATTTGTACGCAGTGTATTAAAAAGTTTAGCTAAGTAAATTTTTTTATGCTTTTCTATTTGTATTCTGTTTGATAACATAATGCATGTTGTAATTTATCTTCAATTGTACGGCTATTAACACTTTTAACACCGTATGATATATGTATATATATACATACACATATACATACACATATATATATATATATATATATATATATTTGTATGAGGGCATCTTCCCTTGGGTTGGCCCCGGGCATCAAAGTAGCTCTGCACGCCACTGTTCTGTTCACGACAATAAACGCTTTAGTTAGAAATATGTTTGTACATTTGAATATTTCTTATTTTTTATTTTCCTCCTTTAAATAAAATTTAGTTTATACATGTATACCATCCACCATATTATTTTCAATAAAAGTCCGCATCTATGTTTTCTATATATCGCTGAACATGCTGACGACGTTGCAAAAATTATTGCGGACAGAGGGAAAGAGAGAGAGAGAGAGAGAGAGAGAGAGAAGTGCGCACGTTGTCCTTTATATATTAGGATGACATTACCAACGTCATCTAATGGAGCAATTCACAACCTCAATCAGGACGTGTTAAATTTACAGTAGCTGACTTCTGATGACATATGTGGGGGGCAGTGGGGAAAATGAAGACAGCGATTTGAATGGCTAGAGCGTGTGGGCAAAATTAAGGGGGGGGGGTAAAGAGGTTAGGCAAATTGAAGGGGTGGGGATGGAATGGGAAAAGTGGGGGGTAAAATAGTGGGGTGAAAAGGATGGGCAAATTGGACGGATGTTTAGTGGCAAAGTGGTGGATAAAAGGGTGTGCAAAGTGGAGGGGTTAAAGAGGGGGATAAAGTGGGGGATAAACGGTTTGGCAAAGTGGAGGGTAGAGAGATTAGGCAAAGTGGAGGGGTAAAAATCGTGGGCAAAGTGGAGAGGTTGAGGAGGTGGGTAAAGTGTGAGGTAAAGGGGTTGGGCAAAGTAGAGCGGTAAAAATGGAGGGCAAAGTGGAGTGTAAAAGTGTTGGGCAAAGTGGAGCGGTAAAAAGAGTTGGGCAAAGTGGAAGGTTAAAAAGAGTGGGAAAAGAGGGGGGGGGGTGAAGGATTGGGAAAATTGGGACTAAAAGGGTTGGGCGATGTGGAAGGTAGAGAGATGGGGCAAAGTGGAGGGGTAAACAGTTTAGTAAAAGAGGAGGGGTATGAAATGGGAAAAGAGGATACTTAAAAAGGTAAGAAAAGGATGGGTAGAGGGGATGGGGAGAGTACAGGGGAAAAATAGTGAGCAGAGGAAAGAACAGAATGGAATAGCAAAGTTGAATGACATTGGGTCTAGGAGTGGGGCAAAAATGTGTAGGGAGAAGACGGATGGGCAGTTAGTGGATGGGGTTTAGGTAGGTATTGGGTGGAATATGGGGAGAACGTGTAGAAATGGGTGGATAAATGCTGAAAGGCAGGAGAGATCCGAGTGTTGGGATAGAGCAGGGGTCGGCAACCTGCGGCTCGCGAGCCACATGCGGCCCTCCTGATACCAAGATGCGGCTCTCCAGCTCCTTGAACAAATACTAACAATCTTAATAAAAAATAAAATATTTGAAATAAAAAAAAATGTTAGTGGCTCTTTAACCCTGCTCTGGTACCATGGGGTCAATATGACCCCAAGCCCTCTTTGGACCAGATTATTTTGAAAACTACTACGATTGATGACCTCACCTGCCATGTATTTTCTTGTAAGACCTTCCTAAGTACGTTACATATGTTTGATAGTTTTTAAGTATTACTGATTATTTATTATTTGTTTTTACTTTCCCTTGGGGTCATATTGACCCCATAGTACCGTCAATGTGACGAAAGTATTTTCTTCTTATTTACAGATTTTCACTGCATAATAACATGACTACACGAAATAGATTTTCTGCAGATGCAGTTTTGCAGTTATTAGATGATCTAAGTGACATAGATAGTGAAAACTAGGACATAGAAAATGATTTGAGCTGAGATGAAAGTGACAATGAACCAAGTAGAGAAGAACCAGATGTCACCAGTGAAGTTAGCGCTAATGAATACGAATCAGAAAATGAATCGGACGATTATGACACTCAAGATATTCTTGGAAAAGACGGTTATGTGTGGTCACAGAAGCCGAAAATTCTCCGAAGAACACCGATGCGAAATATTGTTACACAGAAGCCAGGGCCAAAAGGGAATGGGTGTCAGGCAGACACACCATTGAAAGCATTTGATTTATTTTTTGACGATTCCATGATAACAGAGATTGTTACATGGACCAATCAAAAAATTGAAAATGTGAAAGTCAGTTACATTAGAAACGCTGGATTTTTGTACCAAACCAACGTTGTAGAAATTCGAGCACTTATAGGCATCCTACTCTTCTTGGGTGCCACAAAAAACTCCAAGGAAAGTACTGCAAGTATTTGGTCGAAAGATAGTACTGGCAAGCCAATTTGCATATCAGCGATGAGTCAAAAACGGTTTTTGCTGCTTGTGTATTGCCTACGTTTCGACAATTCCACAACGAGGGCCCAGCGAAGAGCTAACGACAAGTTGGCGTGTGTTCGCGACATATTTGGCAAATTTGTCAAAGCTTGTGAAGCAAACTACACCCCAGGAACTGGGTGTACAGTGGATGAATCTCTCCTTGCATTCAGAGGAAGATGTAGTTTCAAGCAATATATACCAAATAAACCAAGTAAATACGGCATCAAGATATATGTATTGGCTGATAGCAAAACGTTCTACTCGGTTTCTTCAAAAATTTATATGGGAGCTGGTACTCATGCACCAGGGATGCAAGTTCCAACCCAAGCAGTCTTGGATTTGGTACCCACAATTTCTGGAACAAACAGAAACATTACAACCGATAACTATTACACATCAATTGATTTGGCCAATGAACTAAAATCCAGGAATCTCACATTAGTTGGCACTATGAAAAATAACAAAGCTTGCATTCCACCGTCATTTTTGATGAAAGCAGCAGAAGGAACAGTTCAATACGTCTTTGATCATGCAAACGATTACACTCTCTTGTCTATTGTTCCAAAGAAGAACAAGAGAGTTATATTTCTTTCCACCATGCATTCGCAAAAATCGACTGATGCAGCTACTGGGAAAGAAGAAATAAATGTATTTTACAACCAAGAAAAAGGTGGGGTAGACAGACATGATCAAATGTGCAGCTTTTATACCACGGCAAGAAAAACAAATCGTTGGCCAATGAGGGTATTTTATGGAATGATTGATAGTGCTGCCTTGAACGCATTTGTTATTTTTACTGAAAATGTGCCAAACTTTGGAGAACGTAAGAAAAACAAACGACAGAGATTCTTGAAGAAACTGGCCATCGCTTTGATTACACCACATGCGCATCAACGATTGGAGATGAAGCAGACGCCAAAAGATGTCAAACAGATCATCCGTACCTGCGGCATTGCGGAGGTACCAACACAAACAGCAAGCACCACACAACCTCATTCAGGACGCAAGAGATGTTATATTTGTCCCAGATCTTGTGACAAGAAAACCAAACTAGTCTGTAATGAGTGCAATAAGTTTGTGTGTGAAGAACATACCAAGCGAGTTTGCAACCAATGCCAGCATTGACATTTTTCCTACATCGCGTTGAAATAACCTAAATATTGTCTACAAAACATGAATACATATTTGTCCACATGTATTAACACATTGTAGTATTATACGTATGCCAAAATTAAATAAATATTATAATTATCTGGTATTATTCTATTCATATAGCCTATTTTGCACCATGGGGTCAAACTGACCCCATGGTACCAAACGGGTAATTTTTTCTAAGGTACCAGAGCAGGGTTAAAACCAGGGAAATTTTGAAAACTGTAACTTTTGGCTCTTCCGCTTCAAAAGGTTGCCGACCCCTGGGATAGAGGGGAGTGGGCTACACGGACATGTACACGAAAGATAATGATGTGCACGTACACGTACACTTACAGCTGCAGGTGCGTCAATTGGAGAGACAAGCCCAGGACACCTGGGGTCAATTGGAGAGACTAGCCCAGGACACCTGGGGTCAATTGGAGAGACTAGCCCAGGACACCTGGGGTCAATTGGAGAGACTAGCTCAGGACACCTGGGGTCAATTGGAGAGACTAGCCCAGGACACCTGGGGTCAATTGGAGAGACTAGCCCAGGACACCTGGGGTCAATTGGAGAAACTAGCCCAGGACACCTGAGGTCAATTGGAGAGACTAGCTCAAGACACCTGGGGTCAATTGGAGAGACTAGCCCAGGACACCTGGGGACAATTGGAGAGACTAGCCCAGGACACCTGGGGTCAATTGGAGAGACTAGCCCAGGACACCTGGGGTCAATTGGAGAGACTAGCCCAGGACACCTGGGGTCAATTGGAGAGACTAGCCCAGGACACCTGGGGACAATTGGAGAGACTAGCCCAGGACACCTGGGGTCAATTGGAGAGACTAGCCCAGGACACCTGGGGTCAATTGGAGAGACTAGCCCAGGACACCTGGGGTCAATTGGAGAGACTAGCCCAGGACACCTGGGGTCAATTGGAGAGACTAGCCCAGGACACCTGGGGTCAATTGGAGAGACTAGCCCAGGACACCTGGGGTCAATTGGAGAGACTAGCCCAGGACACCTGGGGTCAATTGGAGAGACTAGCCCAGGACACCTGGGGACAATTGGAGAGACTAGCTCAGGACACCTGGGGTCAATTGGAGAGACTAGCCCAGGACACCTGGGGTCAATTGGAGAGACTAGCCCAGGACACCTGGGGTCAATTGGAGAGACTAGCCCAGGACAGAGATGCCACGAACGCTCCTGTCAGTGGCCTAGGCACCGAGAGGGGTGACAGGCTAATTCAACACATTTATCCTAACCTCTCTATTTCACTATTTATCTCTCTCTCTCTTTCTCTCTCTCTCTCATTATATATATATATATATATATATATATATATATATATATATATATATATATATATATATATATGTAAAATACTTAGGATGTAGCTTAAATGTGGCCCCTTGCTTAAATCTTTTCTTAATCTTTATGCATGTGTGTATTGATGTATCTTGCATACACTGACAAGTTCTAAACAAGATCTCTGATCTCTTCTAACTAACTTCTATCAAATTAGTTGTCAAACTCATTTAAATTTTTCGATAAACCTAATTCCTCGTGTGTGTTGATGCGTATTGAGAACATAGTTTGGACTACCATTAATGTCAGAGATTATTTTTTTAAAATATTAAACCTAATTATATGAACATTAGGTAATGTTGTTGTCTTTTTACAATTAGTTAATTTATTTTTTAAATTAAGTGTAGGAGGAACAAGATCATAGTTGTTGACATTGTGTTTAAGTTTGAGACGATTTTGCATTTGTAGGTAAAACTGATTATATATTCAGGACCTACATTATTTTGTTCCATAGCCTCTATGTCTCTTCCAATAAGAATTTATAGAGCTGCACATAGATTGTCAAATGATAAGATAGTAAAGGACTTGCTTTGTTAGAATTTTAGTTGTCTAGCCCTGTTCACAGAAGATAAATTTATTAAAATTTCATGAAAACAATATGGAATGACCCACCCATACACTCCATGAAACGCCTAAGCCCAAGTCCACCCGAACCCCCCCCCCCCCCCCACCTCAATTTATTACGCATTGATCGACCTTCACACAAAGCGTGCCATATTTCACATGTCGGAGAAAAGTCTGGGAAGGGCGTCTAGTCCATGTGTAGACCTCGACTTCAATTTTCAACTGAGGAAAAATTTGAATGGGGTTGATTAGAATGTGGAACAGGTTGGGAAGTTTGCGCATGGGTTATGTGTTATGTTATTGAAGTCTGTCTAAGGAAGAAAATATTTAATCAGGCCATCACCTAACATCAAGTGATAATACGCAGTGCAGTAGATTTAATGCGCATTTTAATGCGCAAACCAGTCGATGCATTTAGATTTGAATGTAAAACATTTTAATATATATAGAAATGTTTATTTAATCTCATTGTATAATAACAGACCAAAATAAATGGTTGTAATAAAAACATAAACAGTATTTAAATTAGATCCAAGTAAAACATGATAATGTGTTATCAAAGCCATATGAAAAATAAGTCTTCTATTTTCAGTTCTCTGGGAACAACTGTTTACCTATATAAATACATGATATGTTCTTAAGTAATTAAATTAGTAAACTCATAAATTATTTGTTTATTACCCACATACAAGTGCGCGGGATTAATGCATGCCTTAATTACATGAATCAACGTGCTATCGACCAGAGTAACCGTTTTATTAAAAATTCCTACCATTTCCACAAACAATTGGTAAAACTAGTTCAAGTATTTGTTAATACAATAATTAATAATTCAAAACATGAGGTAAAAATTGGTTTACGGCGTGGGGCGTCAAAACGACCAATGACAAAACGGCCCGGTCAAAACGACCCGGACAAAACGGCCCCGACATAAACGCCCCGCCAAATCGAACCCGACAAAAGGGCCAGCGAAAAAGAACCCCGTCATATAGGCTCAAGAAAAATAGGCTCCCGTCAGTTTGGCTCCAGATAAAACAGTCCCCGTCTTTAAGTCTCACGACAAAACGGCTTCCGTCATTACGTCTCCCAAAAATTAGGGTCCTGTTATTTCGGCTCTAGACTAAAAGGCCCCTGTCAATACGGTTTCAGTAGAGACTAAGTCTCCCGGCGAAAAGTCCTTTTTTAAATATGACAAATATTAATGGGATTCATTCATCAATACTCTTTAGAGTTAACATAGCTAACACTGTAAATACAACTTATATTTCTTTTGTTCAGCAGGCCTTATTTTTATATTTTATCTAGTACGAGCCGACCTGCTGCGTATCATACGCCGCTATTTAGTTGTTTTTTTCTACTTTTCAGTAATTCATAATTTGTTATTTCGACACTACCAATGCTGCCACTGAAAATATTTGCTTTAAAACACTATCAGTAGCTCGTTAAGGACGATAACAGCCCCCCCCCTTCCTTTCCCCAACCCTTACCCCACCCCCTCCCCCCCCCCCCGTGAAAGCAAACTCCTCTTAGTTACCTCCCCTAAGTTTAAAATCGTTTCAAACTACATTATCTGCCCGTAATAGCCGTCACTAAACCCGGCTCTACGATTGTAAACATTTAGCGTGAACCACAACTCACCAGACCATGTAGGGGTGGGGGTGGTAGGGAGCGCGCTTACAGCTTGGTGTTTTCTAGAGTCTCCAAGAAGAGAATTATATATATAGATAGATACGAAATGTTATGTTTTAAATTTAGAATCATCTAGCTATGACTTCCATGAATGAGTCGGTTGTGGGCAGTTCCAACTCAGTGTGTGGGTAGAGAGTTCCACGCTGTACTACCTGCAAAATGCGTGTAGGCAATCAAAACAAAATGTCGTTTTCCTGTACACATCATCTATACCATACATTTAAAATTTCTGTGCTCGCTTTTAAGCAACAGATCTTTACTGTTGTAAATTAAACATCAAAATGTTTAAGTTGGTGGAATTTAGCTGTCAAGGGCTAGATTAGTTTTTGAGTTGCTGTTGGTTCATGAAAAACAATTTGTCAAGTCATTTAAAAGAGATTACAGTGGTAGTGGAGGTAGGACAAAAGGGTTACTTAAAAGCCAGTAGTGGTCATATCATTCATTTGTCTATAGCCAATAAGGCGGAAGTCATTTTTTCGAGAGCCTCTATGCCGGGAGCCCATGTGTTGGGTCCCAATAAATCGGGAGCCCATTTGTCGGGAGCCTATATATCACGAGTCAATATGACGGGAGCACATTTGTCGGGAGCCCGTTTGCCGGTAGCCCAATTTCCGGGAGCCCTTATGCCGGGAGCCAATATGTCAGGGGTCCATTTTTCGGGAGCCTATATGTCGCGATTCAATACGACGGGAGTTTATTTCACGGGAACCAATATGTCAGGGCCATTATGACGTGGATATTTTAACGGGGTAGTTTTGTCGGGGGTCGATTTGACGGGGACAAATTGCCAGGTCGTTTTGTCCTAAGCAGACGGTGCGGCGGGTTATGGCTACGGCTGTGGTTGGGTTAAAGATAGAATTAATAGAATTATAGTAATAGATAGAGGAGGTGATATTTTCTTAACCTAACTAAAAAATGAAACCCATTAATGTGGTTACAGCGATATTGTCCCATCGCCAGGTGTTTCTGTGTTGACTTCTTCAGCACCTCTATAGCTGCCTGGGGATATCGGTTGGCGGTCTGCACAGTGTGTGCCCTGGCGAACTCCATCTTCTAATAATAATTTCTACTTTAGCGTCAAGTTGACCTGACGTTTCCTATAGGTAAACGTTGGTGATGGAATCTGGCCATCGCATCCCAAGTATTCGTCTATAACAGCTGTTTGCAAATGCCTGGACTTAATCAATGGTCGCCTTTTGTCGTCCATGTCTCCGCTCCATACACCTACAATGGTTTTACGTTCGAGTTCAACAGACGCACCTTGGTGGACAAGTAATGCTCAATGGAAGTCCAAATATTTTTAGCTAGTGAAAGCTGCTCTTGTTTTACCTATCTTTGTTTAACATCGGACTCTTTTTTCGCTGGTGGTTCAC